GTCCCGCTTTTTAACAATCTGTCCCGCCAAAAGCGGGACGTCTGGTCACCTTACTCTTGACAGCCAGATAAGGGGCATGACGGAGACTGGAGGCTGGGCTGGCGGGCTGCGCAGCACCCAGCGGTGAACGGCCTTGCTAACAGCGTTGCCTTCCCGTCCTCGCAGGAGATTGCAGGACGTGCGTCTCCCTGCGTCATAGCAGTTTGCTCAGGGGAGACTGTTGGATATCTTCCCGGAAAGTGGACCCAAAAAATGACTGGGCGGGGTCAGTGGTCAAAGATATTTATAAGTACCGGAGTGACCCCGGCCAGTGTTTGCTAGTGCCTGGGTTGGCCTGTTTGACTTCAGGGAAAACAAACACAGGACCAGCAGCCAAATATCTGCTTAGGTCCCAGCTTCAGTTGGACCACAGACCTATGAGGAGGAAGATTGCCCCCTCCCATCTGCTAAGCACACCCCTGGTCGGCTCACAAGACCCAGAGCAAACAGCACATTCTGAACAGCCTCCTCCAGGGCACTGCACTTACTCATCCCAGAGCCCTCGCCCATGCTAGCGGGTAGCCTGTCCACGTCCCTGTGTTATGTGCCTGTCCATGTCTCCAGGACTCGGGGTTATTTAGGAACAGGGCCACTCCTTTCCTCTCTGTTTGAAAGGAAAGTGTTGGCTACTGGGAATGAGTCCCAGAACCCGGAGTGCAGTCCAGTGACTTTCAAACACTAAACGGGCAGTCAGACATCCCTCGAGGGGTCCCAGATTGGAAAGGGTGCAGGCTGGGCTGTGGGATACCCCTCCCCCCATGCATGAATTTTGTGCACCGGGCCTCTAGTATTTATATATTGTGTATCATGATGTAGTAACATATATGTAAATATGTAAAACTTAAAAAAAAACCACACATACAAAATGCTACATCTGGAATTTTGCCTCCCAGTTTACTCACTGTTATTTTCCCCAAATGTTTGTAGTGGTGCACTGAATTGATTTTATGATACGCTATTGAAGGCCGACTTGCGGTTTGAAAACCATTAGTGTAGTTGTCTTTATCTGCCCCCCCACCCCCCATTATCTGTCTGTAACTGTTGAATCTTCACACTGGGGCTGGGGAAGAAGGTCTGACTGGGGAGGCAGCAGGGGGGAGTGATGGAGCATGGCTACACCATGAGGAACAATGTTCTGCTGGTCCCCTTCCTGCTTCAGTTTGGGCTGGGTTTGACCTCCTGCCCGTAGGACTGAGGTTTGAAACTAACCAGAATGTCCAGAGAGACCTTATACATCCTTGGGCACAAGCAAGGCTGCTTCAGATACACGCTCAGCCATCAGTAAACGATAACCCTTGTACCAAATGCCAAATCCATTCATCAACCTCTTTTTGGAAATAAAGTTTTATGGAAACACAGCCAAGCCCATTCATTGGCATATGGTTAGGTCTGCTCTCATTGTAACTGCAGACTTGAGTAGTTTCCATCCAGACAGTAAGACTTGCAAAGCCTAAAATATCTCCTCTGTGGCCCTTTGCAGAGAAAGCTCACTAACACTCCGAATAGAGGCATTGTCCTCCCTCGCTGGGAGGAAAACAGAACTGGCAAGCACAAAGCCTTTCTCCAGACAGGCCTAGCTGTCCCTCGTCCCTCGCAGTGAGCAGAGCTGGGCGGGTCTCCGGGTGGGACCCAGGCTGCAGCCAGCAGCGCGCTGTGGAAACAGGGAATGCTATGGTGACTGCAAACCCAGGACCCTGAGCAGGCTGACACCGGGGTTTTATTGGCCTCCTTAGTTCCTTGGGCAGGAAAGGGCGGGGGAGGGGGGTGCTAAATGCATGTTTGCTAAATATCCCTTCAATGAGACAGGAATTGGGGGCCTGCGGTGTAGAAGCTGAGTTTAACAGAGCCCCTCTGGCAGGCATTGCCAGTGAAGGGCAGCCCAGAGCGGAACTCTCCTCTCCTCCGTGGAGGCCGTACAGCTCTTCCCAGCCTCTTGGGCAGCTACCACCACCGGCGGAGGTGATGAGATGATGTTATAACTCACAGCAGACCAGTCTGTGCGTATCCAGTGCTAAGCGCTGTTCTAAGCCCTTTACAGGTAGCCACTGATTTTTATTCTCTTGACAAGAAGTTCTAATTTCATTTCATTTTACAGATGGGGAAACTGAGGTGCAGAGGAACTAGATAACTTGCCCACAGAAAAACAACCAGTAAGTGGCCAAGCTAAAATTTGAAAATAGTATGATCTTCGTACTATGGGGTGGGGGTGGGGGGGGGGAGATTCATTGCTGGGATGACAGAGATGCTGGCTTATTCATTGAATCATTGAGCTTTCTTTTTTCTTTTTGTTGTTATCTGAGAATTTGTTCCTTCTTTTAACAAATCTTAAGGACTGTGCCTGTGCTTTTCTGTCTTGCATCTAGCTGGTCTAGAGGCGGGCATGTTACTGGTTCTGGGCACCAAGATGTGAGACGTGTGAACGGCCCACCCACCGGCGGGAAAGATGCCACCTGGGCCAGCGCTCCTGGACACTCAGCCACCATCCCTCCCAGAGTGTGTGCCTCGGAAGCTCTTACCAGGGAGACTGAGGAACCCTCTTGCGGAAACCATTTTTAGTCAGATATTCATTCTGTCACACAGACATTCTTCTCTCCATCACCCAGTTGTATTTCCTCAGTGGATCTTATCGCTATCAGAGAGCCTCTTATTTACCAGTTAGCTTCCTGGTCTCTCCCCGCTCCGTCCCCCCCCCCCCCCCCGCCCCCGCCTTCCCTTTCTGGAACAGAAGCACTGGAGAACAGGGCTCCCACCTCCACCATGCACTGCTCTGGCTCCAGCACCCAGACCACGTCTTGTCAAAGTGTCAGGGAATCTAAATGTAAAGCAGAGGCTCACAGTTCAGCGGGGAAGCAGAAGAATGAGGTTATAACACAACAGAGCCAATGCCACGCTGGAAGCAAAACTCCCAGGGGACCAGGTCTGCTGAGGAACTGTGCCGGGGTTGGGGTGGGGAGGCTGCTGCTGCTGTGGCCTCAGACTCACTCCCCGCTCCCCCACACTTTCACAGGGAAGAGGAGAAAACCTGTCATTTTGAAGCTTCTCTTAAAAAGAGGTCACTTGGGGATTTTCTTGTTTGTTTTCCTGTTTATGCTTCGTTATTTAATTAGTCTTATGTTTCTTTCTTATAAATCTGGTCTTCACGGACAGTCTGCTCCAAGTTCTCTGACCCGAAAGGTAGGTGGGGCTGAGTTTCAATTTCCCTGCGTCCTTTAGGTCAGAGCGCAGCAGTCTGTTGTTTGTTCTTAATTTCCAAGGGAGCTACATTTTTTTCCCCCCAGAGAGGAAGGGAGAGGGAGAGATAGAATCACCAATGATTAGAGAGAATCTTTGACTGGCTGCCTCCGGCATGCTCCACATTGGGGATCGAGCTTGCAACTCGGGCAAGGTGCCCTGACCAGGAATCTAAAAGTGACCCCCTGGTTCCTAGGTCGACACTGAACCACTGAGCCACATTGGCCAGGCAGGGGTGCTACATTTAATTTAAAATGTTTTGGAGGCAATATTCAACCCAAGGAGCTGTATTTTCAATAGTGGAAATAATGGTGAAGAGTGATTATTTTTAAGAGTTTTAAACCGAAAATCCTTTTTTTAAATGAAAATATGTGTTTTTGTTTACAGTTATATGCAAAAATAAATAAGCAAGAGCTATTGTTTTAGGAGGTAACCAAATACAGATGTTTTAGGCGAAGCTGTGGTCTTCCCTCGAGGTGGGGAGATATGGCACATATTGGAGAGAACCCCGTTTCTAAAGACACGGATACTTCTCAGCAGCCGGTGCTTTGTGCAGGCTCCTGTGCGGTAAGTGCGCTCTGCTCTTCTGGGGGCTGTTGCTTGCAGAAGGGATGTGCAGGCCCAGGCATCGGCACCTGCTAACGGAGCAGAGCTGGACTTGGCTTTCCCGAACCAGGACTAGCCCGTTCGTGTCCTTCAGACGGAATCTCTAGAATTGTAATCAGATTAGAATGTTGCAGCTTGAGTGATTGAACTCCCCTGGAAATGGACCATACTGTGTCATGACACCATTGTCCTCAACAACCATGTAAACAAAAATGGACTGATGCTGGGCTCTTGTGCTCTGATGAGATTGTCCATGAATGCGGGAGTGGGAAGTCCACTGTCAGTAATCCTAGCAAAAGGGAAATCTTGGGATGGAAAGAGTGGGCAGGGACCTTTATGGTAGAGATCAGCAAATTTTTTCTGTAATGATCCAGATAATAGCTAGTGTGGGCTTTGCTAAATGTCAGCTGAGAATGGAGAATGGAGCTGTGGCTAGAAATAAGTGACAAAGATTTATTCAATGGTCTTAGGGTTTGCAAACCAGAAACATAACTAGGCAATATCTAGAGGGTTCTGAAAGGGAAAGAATAGCTGAGGGTTCTTACAATAAAAAGTATATTCTTGAGGAAAATCAGTTCTACATTCCTAGCCCCTGAATTGGTTCAAAATGGTCATCGTCAGATGTGTGGTGGCAATCAGCAGATATCCAGTGGCCTAGACCTGGGAACATTTTCTTGTTGACGTCATTCAGCTGGTTACCCAGAGGTTTGTTGCATGTCCCGTCATTAACACATGATGTACTGGTTTGCTTCCAGGTATTGACACAGAGTGGAAAGTTCAAAAGTTTATTCCCCAGAGTCATTTAAAGCAAAAATAATCATTTCCCTATGCCTCAGCCCACTTGAAGTTAATCATTTAGCAGCTTGACTCCACCTGACTTCTTTACTCTCTTCCTCACAGGTCACGCATACAGTTGCTGTCACCCTATTCAACTCTGGCATTACAGCGCAAAAACAGCCACAGACAACATGTAAATGCATGGTCATGTCTCAGTAAGATCTTACAACACAGGCAGCAGGTTGGCTCTGGCTCATGCGCCTTAGTTTGTCAACCTCTGTTTTAGAGCGTCGTGGGTGATGGTGCCTAGGAAGAGAGAGAGCATAGGCATGCCGTCAGGGTGTCAGCTACCTCTGAGGAGATACGTGGCCGAGAGCTATCCTCTCGGGAGGCGGGCTCTGAAGACTGCTTCTAACCGTAGCTGTAATTAGCGCCTGCAATCGCTCTTGCTTACTGCTAAGCCTCTCTCCAGGTGGGTGTGTTGAGGGAAGTAAGAGGAGAGAGCCTGACTCATCCTTGGGGCCCAGGAGCAAAGCAACAGTTGTTCCCTGACCCCAGAGGTTGTGCTGGCACCAGGGGACCCCGCTGAAGATGGGGTCTCGAGGGAAGGCAAGAGTCGAAGAGGAGGAGAAGTCTGTATGTAGATGAGGAGGAAGCAGGCCCCAAGGAAATGAATGCTGAATAACTTCAGGCATTTGCTCTGTAGGGAGGTGTGGGCGTGAGCCTTCATAAGCAAGATGCTTAAGGAACATGGCATTTTCTTTTATAATCACAGGGAGTGAAGACGAGGCACAGGGTAGGTGGTCAACCAGTTGCCTCTAGGTTTACTGACGGCTACAACCTTGTCCTAGAGCCAGTGTTTCCCAAAGTGTGGTACGCGTACCCCAGGGGTACGGGAAGAGTTTGGTGGGGATATGCACTGCACCGTGCTTAGCTGCGCCTAATTCTACGTTCTCATGAGTATGAGGGGTACTCAGCGTTATGAAAATTATAAGAGTTTGTCTTACAGTTTGGGAAACACTGTAAGACCAACCCTCAGCGCCCCAGCCATTAACCTCCACTCAGCATAGTGACCACAACGATTAGAACCAAGGACTGACATCAACTGGGTAAGTCAAGGCAGTGCCTTCAGTTGCGGTCACGGGGTGTCACGCAGATCTGCTCAGCTTCTGCCCCACCAGGAAGAAAAGGCCTTCGTTGTTGGCCACGGTGTAACTTTGCGAGATCACATCAAACTGCTTGATGTCATAGCCGGCCTCTCTCACGGCGGCCTCGACTGCCTCCCGGTCCAGGGAGAGGCTGGAGAACTTCTGCTCCCCAATCATGTAGTAACTGCTCTTCAGGGCGTCCACGAGCACCAGATGGCCCCCCGGCTTGAGCAGGCTGCTGAGGTTCCTGAGGGCTGTGCGGTAGGTGGGGAGGTCCGGGCAGGCGGCGTCCAGGCACAGTGTGCTGAGCAGGCAGTCCGCCAGGGGCAGGGAGGCGGCACCCAGCGGCCGGCTCTGGGTCACGTCACACTTCAGGACCTGCTTGACTGCCCGCCTCAGTTTCTCCTCCTTCTCAGGCCCCTTCACTCTGAAACACATAACCCAACAAACATTGTGCCACCTCATTCGTGGGGACCACAGGTCTCTTTGCTCGGGGCTGAAAACCTCAGCGTTGTCCCAGGAGTTGTATCTTTATGGAAGGAGAAATGAGAAACCTTCCTAAATTTCATTTTATTTTGTTTACAGGGGAGAGCAGTCCCCCACCATCACAAAGATGCAGTCGTGTTTCCCCATGTGGGGAAATCGCAGGGGTCAGCACATCCAGAGTGCGATGGATAAGCCTCGTCCTGGGAAAACACCTTTGTGGTCATGGTGCCCCCTCTCGCTCCTCCCCACCTCCCGCCAGGTAAGTATGATGAGAGACCATTTTTGTATCTGAATTGTGCTGGGCTGACTCTCTTTATGTGGAAATGGTAATGAAAATACCTACTGCCCACTTTGGCACTAGCCTGCCTCCATGAAATTACTCTTCTTCCACTGCTCAAACCAGCACCGGGCTGGTTGATTATCATTTATTAACCAGAGGCTCAGTGCATGAAAATTCATGCATTGGAGGGGGAATCCTCAGCCTGACCTGCCCCTTCTCACAATCCAGGACCCCTCAGGGGCAGGAGGCAACCTGGCAATCAGGAGAAGGTGACATCCCATCACATCTCTGCTGCTACCACTGCTGGTAGCACAAGCCTCAGCTGGTTCTGGTTACCTGAGCCTCAGGCGGCCCTGGGGGGCTGGGAGGCTGGGAGGCTAAGGGGACTGGGGGACTCTGGAGGCAGGTGCCCCAGCAGGGCTGAGGGGACTAGGCACTGCCATCTTTGACAGTCAATTAGCATATTCCCCCCTTATTGGTTGTGGGCACCACCATCTTTGTGATGATGTGAGGGTCAATTAGCATATTCCTTCTTTATTAGATAGGATTATTATTTATTTATTATTTTTTATTACTCTTGCCCCCTCTACCAAATTGCAAGGTATAGCCATCTGATCCACACATAACAGGCAACAATGGGTTTAAAATGCTGAAATGGTGTTTTGTAGTAGCAGCTGGTTAATGAGGGGAGTGGGGTCATCCATAGACGTTTTTAGAAACTCTTAATCACTATCACACCACTGTGGCCAGGGCCTCTCTAGAGAGGAGAAAACTACTAATTGCCCTTCTCAGGCTCCAAAGCAGATTGCAGTAGAGAGTGTGTTTCTAAAGCAGATCTTTTTCTCATGGGCCTTGCTAGGAGTCCTGTCCTCCTCTGCCAAGTCAGTGGGGTTTCTTGAGAGAAAATCAGTCAATGTCGGGAGCAGAGGAGGCAAGGGCAGGAGGTGGAATAGAGTGCCTGAGTCCTCTTATAAATGGTTAAGGAAGGAACAAACTGGTAAATTAAAAAACAAAACAAAAAATGTATAGAATGCATGAGAGAAACCGGAGAAACAGACAAAGGAGGAAGAGGAAGCAACAAATCAGAGAGGTAAGAGAAGGGAAGGAGTGAGGGTGCAAAGTGTCCAGGAGGCCTCAGAGCCTGAATAATGGGAGCGATGATGGGGTACCCAGCCTCTGAGGAAGCTGATTGGTGAAGCACCGGGGTGCAAATCCAGGCTTCCGTGCAGAGAACAGTCTCTTGGCTCCAGGAGAGAGCAGTCACGTGGCCAACAGGCTTGATGGAGACAGCAGAGGATGGCCGGACATCAGAGCAGGGGAGAGAGAGCGAGGAAAAGTCAATGGTTTAAATGAAACATGGAGGTTTACCTCCCGGTGGAGTGATCTGAGATAATAGCCATCAGTTGTGGACATCCTATATAAATATTTAGTTTAAATCTTAAGCCTGCCTCATATAATCAGTTTTTCAACATTCTTTATACTTATTATAATTTTCTGTTTAAGAAACTTAGCAATAAACATATGAGAAGATACTTCCCATCCTTGACCATCAAGGAAATGCAAATCAAACTCTGAGTTACCACTTCACACCCACTAGGATGTCTATAATAAAAAAAAAAAAAAGACAGGAAATAGCAAAGGTTGATAAGGTAGTGGGGAAGCTGGAACCTACACACGCTGCTGGTGAGACTGTGAAATGGTTCAGCTGCTCTGGAAAACAGTCTGGAAGTTCCTCAAAGATTAAACCTAGAGTTACCACATGACCCAGGCATTCCACTCATGGGTTTTTACTAAAGAGAAAAGAAAAATACAGAAACTTCTACGTAAGTATTTACAGCAGCACTGTTCATAATCGCCAAAGATAGAAACAACTCAAGCGTCCATCAGCCTGTGAATAGATAAATAAAATGTGGTCTAGCGATACAATGGACTATTATTCAGTGATAAAAAAGGAATAAACAATTTATAAGTGCTACAATATGGAAGAACCTTAAACACATTATGCCAAGTAAGAGAAAGCCAGGCACAAAAGGCCACATGTTATATGGTTCCAGTTAAAGGAAATGATCAGGAAGGCAAAGCAAAGCAGACCAGTGGCTGCCAGGCACTGAGTGGATGGGGGATGAGCGTGACAGCTAATGCACAGGGTATTTGTGGGAGTCACGAAAACGTTCTAAGATTGTGTTGAAGTGTGAATAAACTAATAGCTACAGAACTGCACACTTTAAATGGGTGAATGGTATGCTATGTGAATTTTATCTCAGTAAAGCTGTTATATGAGAGAGAGAGAGAGAGAGACTCAGAGAGAGATAGCTTAGCAAGTTATTGGTTTCAGGAAATTCCTACCAACCAATAAACTGGTACACACAGGGAAGGATTACCTTTGATTGGGTGAAAGTGGTAGGAGGGTGACCAATCTCTCCTGATTGGTCTGGACTCTCTGGCTTTCTCACTGAAAACCCAGGTCCTGGGAACCTCTCTCAGCCCGGGTCAAAGGACCCTTAGTCATTCTAAACGTGGAGAAATCAGTCACAAAGCTGCCAGCCGCTCTGATATTATAGAATGTGGAGGTGTTCTTCGACAGGCCATTTTAAGAATAAAAAAAATAAACCCACACACAATAATTCAACATAATGGAAGTCTTGTGTGAAACATGAATTTGAATTGGTAAATTAATATAGAATAAAAAATTTCAAGTACCCTAATGGATAACTTAAGTGTACTCAGAAAGCTTAAGAAGTGACCACAGTGGAGTTTGAAGGTGTTAAAAGGTGATCTTCCCTCCTGGGGACGTTAGGGGGATGTGTATCTAAGTGATTGCTGCAGAGCAGGCCGGACCTCTGTGGCCTTTTAAAGACACAGTCACCACTTGCTGCTCAGGTGAGGATGGCAATTGTTCCCAAACTGTGAGGCAGGCTGTGAAGTCTAGAAAGCTCACAGAGAATGTGGCAATTTGAGAGGGAAATTCGTTCCAAACAGCCACTCTTGTGGATGTTTGCTTGTCCTTGGACGGATAGCAAACATCGGTGAACTCCGTTGCCAAGGCAGCTGCGTAAAGATTACACCTCAGGGCTCCTCGGGGCGGCGAGTTCGCCTGCAGGGAAATGGACTCGCAATTACCACTCAGCCTCACCCGCGGCTCATGGGGCGCGTAATAAACACACACAGGAAAGCCGTGTGCAGCTTTACAGAAAGCCAACAGCGGTGTGGCTGCTCCTCTAGCTCGGAAGAAGTACTCTCAAATGGATCAATATGCAAAAAGGGCAGCGATTTCCCCTGTAAACATGCCGCCTCTAAAAGCCGGAGGGAGCGGGGAGGGGGTGGACAGATAGAGCAGCCCCCCTAGGAAGAAGGCTTTGAGGCAGGTCTTCCCACACCGAGCATCCATCCGGACATCTGAGGAGGCCCTCCTGCCCCCCTCTGCTAGGCAGGCGGCCCATCAGAATCCCCCCCCCCCCCCCAAGCTGTTTTCTATGGCACTCTCTCTGAGTCCCACCCCAGAGGCTTCACCTGGGCCTCCCGAGGGAGAGCCATCAGACGGGTAAAGGAAATGAAAAGCTAAATAAGCTTGGATGTCAATGTAAAGATCGTAAGAACAAGGAATAATCGTTGGTAAATGTTCGGTGCGGCCACCTGGGTCGGATGAAGGCAGTTTCTAGGAGAGTGTCTGCAGGGAGGGAACACGCAGTCAGCATTTTACAGGGATCTTTTGAACCTCTCTAGGTGCCACGAAGAGCTCCTGCAATGATCCTCCAGGAAAATGAAAGATCAAAGCTGTGGCAAGTGCTAGGCAGGGAGGGACCCGGCGCCATTGGAGGAATGTCAGGAGCTCGCCATGCTCCTCCACAAAGGGCCAGGCCAGCCTGGACGGAGAGGCTGCAGAAGGGAGTGCTGACTAGGCCGAGCGAGTGCGGAGCGAGGAGAATATTCCAGTAAGAGGACAGAGCAAGAGCAAAGGCTCGCACTGCAAAGCCTGTGTGCAGAGGCGGAGGGAACAATGGAGTAAAGACAGGCAGGCAGGGTCCCGGGCCCAGAGGAGGCAGGGCTTTAGGGACCACGCTAAGAAGTGTGCTTTTTGTCCTGAAAGCCGTGGGAAGTCAGTAAGGGCTGCTAAGGAAAGGAGCAATACAAACAGACTCACATCTTGAGTTCATTATGTTAGGAGAGGAGTGAAGGTGGAGGCCAGTTGGGAGGGAGAGGATAACAGCTTAGACCAGGGTGATGGGAGACACTGGGAGAAAGACACTGGTTCCAGAGCGGCTCAGGCAGTCACACGGAGGGCGGTGCTGGGTTTGGAGCATGACTGCGAGGGAGATGGCAAGGTTGGCTTCCAGGCCGTGGTTTGTCCACATCTAGGATGGTGCCCTGGAAGAGATCGGAACACCAGCAATGATCTGGGGAGGATCCTAGCTCGACTGGAGCACATTGGGCTTGAAACATCCTGAGATGCGAGTAGGATGTGTACAAGCAGAAGGAAGTGGCCAGGTGAAGGCTCTCACCCTGCCCTGCTAATTTCCCCAAGAGGTCGTGCCCGGAGCATCATGGGAGAGCAGGGCAGTCATATACGGGCAGGAACTTCCCCAGGGGCCCCACAAACCACTGTCAGGACCATCAGCATCCTGATGTGGAGAAAGAACATCAGCCTTTACCAGGCATGAGAG